CTTCCCCCTGCATGTAAGGAGGTTACTAACTGCAAACCTTTGATACCAAAAATAAAATATGAAAAGTTCATAACCACTCAATAATGCATAGATGGAAAAATAGTATAAATAGTAAACTTGAAAAGACCAAGTAGGGTTTACCTTAAAAACATGTGAAGAAGCCACCCTTTTCAAACTCTATTAATGTAATAACTAAAGAATACAAACCATTTGATTATATCAGTGGAGGCAGAACAGGAAATAGCTACAATTTTAACAGACCATTCATGATAAACTTGCAAGCGAACCAGGAATAGAAGCAAACTTCCTTATTTTGATAAAGAGTATCTGCCAGAGATCTATAGTGAGCATCAAATTTAGCTGTGAATGAAGCATGAGAAGCATTTAAATTAAAATCTGAAGAAAGGCAATAATGTCTCTCTAACTGTTGGTATTCAATATTATATATTATAACCAAATGTAATGCACCAAGAGAAATAAATAAGAACGACTAAAATCAAAACAGAAAAGACAAAACTGTCAAAATGTGCAGACGATGTAATCATCAATATATTTCCTCCCTTTTCAGAAAAAAAAATCTCTATTCAGTCTAGATTTTTTCAGGCTTTTCCACCTAAACCCTAAGAATTATATATATTTTATTTATTTAGTTAGTTAGTTTTGAGACAGAGCCTCAAGCTGCCACCCTGGGTAGAGTACTGTGGCATCACAGCTCACAGCAACCTCCAACTCCTGGGCTCAAGCGATTCTCTTGCCTCAGTCTCTCAAGTAGCTGGAACTATAGGTGCCCACCACACCTGGCTATTTTTTAGTTGCAGTTGTCATTGTTGTTTGGCAGACCCCGGCTGGATTTGAACCCGCCAGCTCTGGTGTATGTGGTTTGCACCTTAGCCTCTTAAGCTACCAGCATGGAGCCAAGAATTATATATATTTTAAAGACCAGTCATTTTCCTGCTCATAATCTCAATATTGGGATTTTCTATCCTTTCTTATGAGTTTCAGCTGCATTCTATTTCTACATATTGAAATAGTGCTACCAGAAAAACCGAAGAAGGCACCACACCTATGGAGCGTATTGCAAGGGTGCAAGTCAAATCTATCAAATATAGAAGATAAATGTCTTAACACAATAATCAAGTAAATGAGGCAAAAGCTACATTAATTAGTTTGATGTAGGCACTCCAAATTGTATAAAAATATCAACACATTATACTCCACATATGCATACATATATTCATGATCTATGTGTATATGACTTAATTTTAAAAAAAAAAAAAGAAGAAGAAGAAGGGACATGGACAAAAAGGCCCAGGATTAACTGATGATCTCCAGGTTAAGGCCTCTGCCCAGCCTTAAGCCTTCCTTTTGCTGCTCCCTCAACAATTTCAAGTGGCTCCAAGGAGATCACGCATTGGCTGTTCTCAAGCAGTGGTAAACAAACTATAAATTGATCTCTTCATTGTGGAACTCTACATCTTAATAGCTTATCAGCTCAAATATTTCCAGTTTCCCTTGGGTAAATGTTTGAGGGCCTTCGAGGAGATTGTGTGGGATTGAACTGAATGCCTGGAAGTGATGCCATTCTTGTCAGTCAGGCTTCCACGGCTTCTCAAAGATACCACAATAAACTGCCTCATTTCCAAGTCTTCATATCTCAGTATGCCGGTACTTAGAAAGGGAACCTTTGCTACTTTCTGAGTCTCTAAAAGCAAGGCATAAACTGGGCATCAGCGTTAGAAATCACTGAGAATTACTGAAGAGGCCAAGCCCTTGAGGGACCGGGTGGACTTGATGACTGATTCTCCCCCCACTTTCTGAGAAGCCCACCTTGGGCTCTCAGTATGAGAAGGAAACATTGCTGAGTGGGAGAAAGATGGGGCCAAGGCAGTGAAGGCCTC